GGGGAGAATGGAGTGCTGTGTGCTCTCTGCAAGCTCGTCGTCCTCCTCCTCCTCCTCCTCTTCCCTGTCCGCAGAATCCTCACGTGTAGCTGATGAGATTACCCCTGCCTCGGAATCCACGGTCAGAGGTGGGGTAGTGGTGGTGGACCCCCCTTAAACTGCATGCAGCTCGGTGTAGAAGCGGCATGTCCGCGGCTTTGACCCGGAGCAACCGTTTGCCTCCTTTGTTTTTGATAGGCTTGTCTGAGCTCCTTGACTTTCACACGGCACTGATCTGAGTCCCTATTGTGGCCTCTCTCGATCATGCCCTTGGAGATTTTTTCAAAAGTTTTGGCATTTCGTCTTTTCGAACAAAGTTCTGCTAGCACTGAATCCTCTCCCCATATAGCGATCAGATCCAGTACCTCCCTTACGGTCCATGCTCTTTTTCGATTATCGGCCTGCATGGTTACCTGTGCTAATGAGCTATCTGTGGTCACCTGTGCTCTCCACGCTGGGCAAACAGGAAATAAAATTCAAATGTTCGCGGGGCTTTTCCTGTCTGCATGGCCAGTGCATCCGAGTTCAGATTGCTGTCCAGAGCGGTCACAATGGTGCACTGTGGGATAGCTCCCAGAGGCCAATACCATCGAATTGCGGCCACAGTAACCCTAATTCGAAATGACAATATCGATTTTGGCGCTACTCCGCTCGTCGGGGTGGAGTACAGAAATCGATTTTAAGAGCTCTTTATTTAGAAATAAATGGCTTCGTTGTGTGGACGGGTGCAGGGTTAATTCGATTTAACGCTGCTAAATCTGAATTAAAGTCATAGTGTAGACCAGGCCTTTGATGCTTATTTCAGATATTGCTTTAGGAGATGTATTTTTCCTGCCCTGGTCCCTCTCTGTTCTGGAGAGAACAACAAAGAGAGCACAAAACAAAAACCTTCCCCCACAGATTTGAAAGTATCTTCTCCCCTTATTGGTCCTTTTGGGCAGGTGCCAACCAGGTTATTTGAGCTTCTTAACCCTTTACAAGTAAAGGAGGGATTTTATGCTACCCTTAGCTGTATGTTCATGACAAATGCCATGATAAAAATCCTGTCTTTACCAGATGGAGGCACATGGGATGGGCGTGGGCAGCAGAGCAGAACTGTTCTGTGTGCTACAAGAGCCACAGGGTGGCATGATGGTTCATTGCTGGTGGGCGATGGGCACACAGCCAGACACATTATTAGGACATTTCTGTTGCAGAGAAATAACATATCCTGGCAAGCACAAATAGCAAGTAGAAGAACATGTGCTAGCCTGCTGTGGGGCTGGACCATGCCCACTTTGAGACATGGAGCACTGATCAGCAAGAAAACTAATCTCTTGCTAATGTTGTCCTTATTGCTAGGGGGAAATTCCGCCTTTCTGCTTACATGGGTGAGTGTGGTGAAAGGCTGCCTACAATTCTCCTTTGCCCCAGCACACCTGTGCAATAGAGGGTAGGATTTTGCCCAGTGATTCCAGTATCTTTAAAATAATGTGGAGCATTTAGAGTGAAGAGAGATGCTTTTTGGATAAGGCTAACAGTGTAGGAATACAGAGGGAACTGAGAAAACGAAAGTGCATGTTGCAGAGTTCTGCAGCTTCAAATAATTTTGTTTTCTGTGTTTTGTCTCTGGGCTCTCCAGACCAGCCTTTATGGATGAGTACGAGAAGATCGAGGAGGAGCTGCAGAAACAGTATAGCAATTATCTCGAAAAATTCCGTAATCTGGCCTATCTGGAACAGCAACTGGATGATCATCACAGGGTAGAGCAGGAGAGGTTTGAGGTAAGAAAGTTTTTGTATTTCCAGACAAAACATTAGTTTAGCTAAATGTACTTTTTTAACCTCTGCCCCATTATGCATGCCACTGTTTATTATCTAGCAATAGCCAAAAAGACTTTCATTGCCTCCTGCCGCTTCCCACAGCAGCATGATAATTAATACATATCCTCAGAGCTGTGTCTCCACTGATAAGATCATCATTTTTATGTTCTCTAGTTTTGAACTGGAGTGATCTTGAGCAGACAAGATAACACACTTTTAGCTCATGAGTCAGTGGAGTTAAGCTGTTGTAAAATCTGCATAAATTAGATCAGCATCAGGCAACTGCTGTCTTTTCCAATCACTGCAACTTTTCCCCTATAGTCTTTTATTTCTCCTTTTATCTCTCACATACTTCCCAGGGTTCACGAAGAACAAATTTTCAGCAGTTCTGAACTCCCTCTTTCTAGTTCTTTTAAAACCAATGGGTGCATCTTGCAGCGCATGTATTTACAGTTCTTCTTCGAGTGCTTGTTCATGTCCATTTCAGTCAGGTGTGTGCGTGCACATTGGCTGGAAGATTTTCCCCTTAGCAGCATCCGTTGGGTCGGCCTGGGCGCCCCCTGGAGTTGCGCCCTCATGGCGTCTAATATATAGCCCCGATGACCCGCCACCCCTTCAGTTCCTTCTTACCGCCGGTGACGGTGGCTGGAACTTCCCTTGGCTCTTGTTCAGCAAATTTTTTCTCTGTTCCGTTGTATATAGTTAGTTCTTAGTGTTGTTCGAGTTAATAGTTTAGTATAGTATAGTGTTTGTTGGGGGTTCCCCCCCGCACTCCAGTGCCGTGGTACGCTGCGGTCCCTGGGTTTCAAGAACTGCGTGGCCTGCGCCAAGTGCATGCCGAAAAGTGACCTGCTCTCATAATTTCTACGGTGCCTGGGGGAGACCCATCAGAAAGATCGTTGTAAGATCTGCCGCGAGTTCCATCTGAGAACACCTAAAGGAAGAGAACAGCGGCTCAAGGTGATCTTCATGGAGGCAGCCCTACGCCCCCCACTCCGACCCGGGCTCGAGAGACCCGACCCCTATGGCGTCGTCCTCGACGTGGAGCGCCCTGGCACCGTCGGCGAGTTCGGCGCCAAGGAAGGACTCCTCAAGGGACGCTCGGCAACGCCATGGCTCCTCATGGGGCCCGTCTGACAGTAGGCACTGCTTCCACTCGCCAGTATCTCAAAAAAAGAAAAAGCTGGACGACCATTCTCCTCCAGCTAAGCCACGGTGTGACCCCAGGTGGGCCAACCCTCGGCATCTCCTTCTGGGGCTGTGTCGACTCCTGCCCAGGTGCGGCAGTCGAGTCCAACCCCATCTCGATCACTGGTGCCTACGCAGCAGCTACAGCTCCCATACGCACCGGAAGCGTACCAGGCTGCTCGGGACCTCCTCCACTTGACGACATCGTTCTCACCTGCCAGGGAGGAACCCTCAGCGCCGACGGAACTGTGTCCTCCGATGCACTCTATAGGGAAGCCGGCTATGATGTCAAGACACTCCCCTTTGCCTTGTCCATCGATGCCTACCCACTCCGACAGAGAGCCTGCCTGCTCCCTGAGTTCTCGACGTTCGAGGCACCGAGGATCGGCTACTCCATGGTCTTCAGTGTCTGAGACCTCGCAGTCGGAGTCCGACTCCTATCGCTCGGGTAGGAGCAGAAGTCGTAGAGCGAGGTCAGGTAGAGACAGAAGAGAGCATCAGGCATGGCCTCCGCAGTGGCAGAATCCGCCTTAGTGGCCCTTCTGGACCCCCTGGGCTTTTCACCAGGGCCAGGGAGGAACCCAGGGCTCATCCTCAGCAACATCTTCAGTGGCCTCCGCCACTTTCGTACCATCTTCCACTGCGCATCTGCCCTCGGTGCCTACTGTCCCGACGCCTTTGCCTCCCGTCCCGTCGTCGACTCCGGCACTGTGCTCGGCTCCGACTGCGGCACTGGCGCTCACGGCGTTGACGCACCCGTCTCCCACGCCTGCACCGTTGTCGACGTCGACCTCAATGCAGGCACCTATGGCCCCGGTACCGATGTTGGCACCAGGCCTGCCGACGCCGGCAGCTCCTGTGAGCGTGCCAACGCAGCTGCCTCCAGTGAGACTGATGCCAACGCCTGTTACAACGCCTATGGCCCCGGCACCGTCATCGGCACCACTTCTTCCAGCACTGCCCCGGGAGTCATGTGACCCCTCTGGGGCAGACGGTAGGGAGCTTCCACTACCGGCATACGCTTCCGCCTCCTCGTCGCCGGACGAAGCGTTGGCATGGATGACCATAGCTCCTGCGTTAGAGGACAACAGAGTCCTGCAGCAGCTGCTCCACAGGGCTGCCCAGGGTCTGGGCATCAAGGCTGAGGAAGTGGTAGAAGAGGCAGATCCTATGGTGGACATCCTAGCACCCTCAGGACCTTCATGGGTAGCCCTCATAAAGACGGTTGTGGACACCACTAAGACCCTGTGGCAGACACCGGCATCCTTGCCACCCATTGCCAAAGGCAATGAATGGCAGTATTTTGCGCCCTCCAGAGGCTTTGAGCATCTGTACTCCCACCTGCCTCCGGACTCGCTGGTGGTCGATGTGGCTAACCAGTGGGAGAGACAGGGCTTCTAAGGTCCTTCTCCAAAGAATAGGGACGCTAAACACCTAGACCTTGTGCGTAGGAAAGTCTACTCGACCGGTGGTTTGCAGCTCCGTATTGCTAACCAATAGGCCGTTGTGAGCAGACACTCCTATAACACCTGTGCAGCAATGGCGAAGTTCACGGAGCTCGTCCATTTGGATTCTCGGTCAGAGTTCACCGCCTTGGTGGAAGAAGGGAAACTAGTCTCCCACGCCTCATTGCAGGCAGCATTAGATGCTGCAGACGCTGCCACTAGAGTAATGGTGACGGGGTTGGCTATGCGGCAGGGCACCTGGCTGCAAGTCTCAGGGTTACCCTACGAGGTCCAGCAAACCATTCAGGATCTTCCGTTTGAGGGCGAGACTCTGTTTTCAGAGAAGACGGACAAATGGCTCCACAGCCTAAAAGACTTCCAAGCCACCATCAGATCCTTGGGCTTGCATACCCCCGCCACACAGCAGAGACACTTCCTCTCGCAACCTCCTCAAAGGTTCCAGCAGCAGAACCGCCAGGACAGTTCTCAGAGGAGGAACCGGAGTGGCAGGAGGAGGCAATACCCCTCCGCTAATTAAGGTTCTGGACAGCCCAAACGGCTCTCTGGCCCTGAACCAGCCTTTTGAAGGTGTGGTCGAGGACAGCATTCCAGAGCAGAGGCTGGATCTACCCCGCCTTACCTTTTCCTCCCAACTATCCCCTTTCTACCGTGCATAGTCCCATATCACATCAGACGCTGGGTGCTCCGCATGGTAGAGAGGGGATACTCCATCCAGTTCTGTGCCCTCCCACCCCCCTTCCCCATCCCTCTTCAGGGATCCTTCTCACGAGCAACTTCTCATTCAGGAGGTGCATTCGCTCCTAGCACTAGGGGCAGTGGAGGAGATTCCACTGGAACACAGGGGCGAGGGTTTCTATTCCCGCTATTTCCTAATACCGAAGGCCAAAGGCGGCCTCAGGCCTATCCTGGACCTGCGCAACCTCAATAACTTTGTGAGGAAACTCAGGTGCTGCATGGTCTCCCTGGCCTCCATTATCCCTTCACTGGATCCAGCAGACTGGTATGCTGCCGTCGACTTGAAGGATGCGTATTTTCACATAGCAATTGCGCACAACCACAGAAAGTTTCTCAGGTTTGTGGTCAATGGTTCCCATTACCAATTTACTATCCTCCCATTCAGCCTGTCAGCAGCACCTTGAGTATTCACCAAGTGCATGGCAGTCATCGCCGCCTTTCTGCGGAGACATTGGGTGCAGGTGTTCCCATACCTCGACAACTGGGTGATCAAAGGCCACTCCAGGGATCAGGTGGAAGCTCAGGTGGCATTTATCAGAGCCACCTTCAAGAATCTGGGCCTGTTCCTGAACAAAGCCAAATCGACTCTGTCCCCAGTCCAGAGGATAGAGGTCAGAGGAGCGGTACTGGACTCAACTCAAGCCAGAGCATTCCTCCCGCAGGCGAGATTTCAGGCTCTCAACAACATGATCCAGGGACTTATGCAGTTCCTGTTATACCAATAAAAACTAGCAGGATCTTATTAAAGGGGACAAGATAAAGATGCCACATTTATTATGATAACAATTTGATTTATGACCAATAACTAATACACACACACACACACACACACACACACACACACACACACACACACACACACACACACACACACACACACACACACACACACACACACACACACAGATGTTCTGCAGCTGCTGCATAGTTACCAGTCCTGCTTGAGTTTGCAGTTTGGGTTCGTAGCTTGTGGCGGCTAACTGGCCAGGAAAGCCGGGCACAAGGACGAGCTGGGTCTCTGTTGGGCATGCACTGATGCCCTTCCATGTTGGCAGCAGAATGTTACCCTCCTTCAAAGTTTTTCATCTCACCCATCCTTTTTGTAGGCTTTAGTTTGAATCCAGAGTCTATAGGTTTTGCTGTGTCACGCTGCCTCCAGGTTTGGTGATTGATCACCCGTCAATTGCAGACATGACTTTCAGACTCGGACCGGGCTTTGAACGTTTTTTTTAATTGTACCTTTTTTTTTAGGGTGGATTCTTCTTACTTTGTTAGGGCTCTTGTCTGCATCTTCAGCCGTTGGTGTTTGAACTCTATTTAATCAGGACAGACTGGGGCTGGAGGTTGATTCCATCATCCATACATACCTCATTTACACATCTAAACTAAACTAATAAGATTACAGCAGCAGCCCACCACCACCGCAAGAAATTGCCTGAAGCTTCTTGGGCATATGGCAGCTTGTACATACGTGTTACGACATGCCAGACTCAGGCTTCAGCCGCTCCAGTCATGGCTTGCGTCAGTGTACAGACCTGCCATGGACAGCTTGGACAGGATTGTGACCCTGCC